CACACTATTAAAAAATATGTTACGTCGATTCATAAAATTTTAACATTAATTATTCGAAACTTGAACTTCTAGTTCGAGAGATAAGATTAATCGATAGTAAACAGGAAAATGTTGTGTCGATGGTGACGTTTTTTGCAAGAAAAGGACGAAATACGCGTGAATTTTAAACGCGTTCAAAGCGGCACTCCGATGGCCAGAGAAGAAAGGTCATTGTACGTCATTGGGAGCCACGAGATGGCCACTTAAAGCTGTGGCCAGATTTAAAGAGAAAAAACAAAGATATTGAGTTTCAATACAACAGAAAAGTCAAACTTTAACCCTCCCCCACTCCTGGTTAACCTTCAAGACGGACACGTGCAGAACCCAAAACACACTAAAACATCTAATAAGCATTCACGTTCGGTAGAAGTAACTGACAGAAACTTTTCTGTGGTTAAGTTGCAATCTTAAGATCACTAGAAATTTAAGATTGGCATCAACTGTCTAATTTTCTAATTCAAATGTCAAATCTGAATTGTGTGGAAAAAAAACGAAGTTTTTCTAATTTCAACACGCTTCGTTTCAAGAAAATCCTAAATACAGCATGGAAACAATTTCCATAAAAGTCATCACGAGAAAGCTCATTTTAAAGGAAAAGAAACAAGAAATATTTCGTGGTTTTCAAAAAATTGGGTAAAACGGAAACAGTTAAACTGGTGGCAGAAATATTCTCCGTAAAGTTCGCTAGTGTTGTCGAATGTTTTTCGAATTTTAAAATAATACAGATACAGCGGCGCTTGTGCCGTTAATATTATAATCAGGATCAGAAAGACGACTGCGCAGATTTATATACCTACATGCTTTGTTGGTTCCGTTCTACAATTGGTTTTTAAGTTTTATATAATCGTTATTGTTTTGTAAGAGGCAAAACACTCGGCTTTGTAAATAATTGTACGTAATACACGTATAAATTTAGGTTTCCGAAGGCGAAGTTTTTCACATTTTAAACACGTTATATCTGCCAGAATCAAATTTCTAAGGCGGTACCTATCTCCAATTGCGTGATTGTGGTGAAGATTTACTTTTCATTTTCTTGGATGAGACATGGATATACCAGAACGGATCCATGGTGAAATTGTGGATACATGATGATGACAACAAAGCTTGTCCTCCTAAAAAAACTAGTGAAGGGAAAAGATTCAAAATTTTACATGCGGGTTGCTCTTTGGGCTTTTAGAGGGATGCGATTTTCTCCTTGGTTCAAAAATAGATTCACCAGATTACCACAAAACCATCACATTTTCGATGTTTGACCTTTACTTACTTACATGTCACATTTTTGATACCTACTTTCTGACATTCCAGTAATACATTATACACTAGAACAATTATGTCCGCAGTTACACAGCTTAAAAAAAAAAGTTACCAAATCTAGTTACATCTACCGAACGTGAATTCCTTATACAATAGCAATTAAAAAAGTACAAAGCAGTGTTTATTAATCTATTTTCTTCTGCCAAACACGACATGATAAGACCGTAAATGTAAAAGCTGTGTACAATAATCTTTACAAGTGAGGAAACAACTTTTTTGTAATGTAATCACCCTTCTTTGAAATCACGTACATTCCAAACGAGAAAAAACTGGTACGTTTCAACCTATAAAAAAAGTGATTATACATTCCTTACGCACGTATGAGAAACTACTAACCTTTTAAACTATTACAATTAGGTAGATAAAAGCTTGTGTTAAAATGAAAATATTATCAAATTCTTGATTAGGTCAATATATCACGTGACGTTTTTAATCGGCTTAAGAAAAAAAAACTTCCCGTACGTTCCCCACTTTAGCCGCTATTAAAAAACCCATCATCGCACGCCACAAAAACTATTAATTTCTTCATATTCAACTTAATTAAATACGAAAGCAACATTTGCAATAAATAAATCACGAAACCATAAAAATACCCATTTAAAAGTAACCATGAATCAAACATAAGAAGCATCAAAAAAGTAGTCTACGATTAGCTTTAAATAGCTTACTCTGATTCGCACGGTAAAAGCTGAACAGAAATTAATTTGACTTGCATTAACTCCTCCTACAAATTGTTTTTTATTGGTATTATTTATGACTAAATGTCAGAAATCATTAATTTGCGAAGCTATAATTTTATTATCTTATTAGAAAAAAAAAGATTACTCGAAATAATTTGTGGTTATCCATGCGAACGGTGGGTTAATCTATGATGAATACAACTCATTAGAAAGAAATTCCACTGAAGATTAGCTACGTCAGTGTAAATTACTACAACAATGCGAGCCGAATTCTATGCTACCAGTGACAATATAGGCATAGAGTGATCTAAAAAATTATTATATAGAGGATGCATTGTTTGAGGATAAAGGTTGTGACAGGCATTGGTGTGTATGAAAATCTACGTCTCATTGGACGACCGACGACAAAATCTGAATATCACCTGGATTACACGTCTGGAAGATAAATCTGATGTGAATTAAAACCATTGAAGTTAAAAAAGTCCAAAATGTAAACGAATGTATTTCTGATATGTACATGTCTAGGTATACTTTAGTCAGAATTCTGCACGAAAACTACGTACTTTAACTTTTGTTTACGTATTTCTTACCGGTGAACCTGAATTCTTTCCACCAATTCTTCTAAAAATAATCTGCGAATGGACCAAAAAATTACCGAGAACTCGTTAAAAACAAATCTGTTTATATTAGAACTTGATTCAGATGATCCAAACAGTAAAAACCAACTTAAAACTACAAAACATCAGATTATATTGTGTGCTGCTTTGAAAACGTTTTTTGTAAATCAATTATAACAATGATGTAATTGTTTTTATACAAGCGTTTATCGCTCATTTTTTCTGTATTAATAAGCACAAACTGTTGTAGTTTTATTAAAATTATTATTATTATTTTCCTTCTATTATTGTAATTTTGTAGTCATCGTACGTACGATCGATTTTTTTAACAAATAAGTCGTTAGTTCTAAAAAGAACATTCCTTATATTTTGCGCAAATCTCATACATACGTCATGTCATAAAATAAAAATTATACCAACTGTCTTAACTTCTGTCTAACATTAATAGCGCGCGGAACACTGAAAATATCCCTACGTAATAAAAACCAGATTTAATGATAGATAAGTTGATAGTATACAACAATGTAGGCGAAAGTATTTCAGGCATTATTAGTTCCGAAACGCATATATTCTGACATACTAAGTATATTGAAATTTCCTTCCCTCTGAAGCACCACACTTACTGTGCTTCATAAGCGAACGAAGTTCGGTGAGATCTTTACACCACGGTTTTAAATTTTTACAAATATGTATAGTATACCGGCACAAGAAATTTAATGATTTTACGACTTTCACTCCTTCACTACCCTTGTCAACGAATAATGCAGCTTATTACATGCAAATTTATGACACCATCCCAAGCTTAAATTGAGGTTCTTTCTTGTATTTGGCTGGCACGCTTCTCCTACACAGGACCGGCTTATCTTTAACGGTATTAGTTTAAGATGCTTTTTGTTCATAGACGAGGGGTCAGAAAAGTCAAAGTCATAAAACAACAAAATCAACGGCAAAATATTACAGCACAGTTTATTTATTAATTTTTTGAAAAGACGCCATCACATAGGCTAACCTACTATAAACACTAAGTCATATTTAATTAATTATCTACACATCTAAATAATTTTTAATTTCTAGAATGACGTCATCAAATGATTGGTCCGCATGAATTGAAAAAAATTTATTACGGTCTAACAAGAATCTTAAAGCAAATTCAAAATTTTGGACGGAAAAAAAACTGCATTTTTGTGCTCTACATAGAAAACGTGGGGACGCATTAATTTAGACTCAGGAAAAATAAAATTATATCCCTATACATCTACAGCTATCCGAAACGATGAGAAAAATTGTATCTGCAATTTTCACTGCCATAACTTCAGAGCAAAACGAGTGTTGGGTTGTCAATCACTCTATGTCTAATGTTTGATGTAACATGCACGTCACATGAATACGATATATAATTAATTTAATTAATAATTTGATTTAAAACAATATTTCTTTTATTTTAAGCTCAAAAGAATAATTACTCTAAACCTGTGACATGATATGACATGATGAATTTTAGAGATAAAACAAAAAATTATAAAATGTAAACATTAAACCGTTCTACATCTATGTATAGCAATCAATACTGGATTAAATCTGGTTTTTACAGCACGTCGATTACACTTGAATTATAGGAAGTGTATAATGCATAATACCGGCTACTAAACCACAATTTTGAAATCATATTATTACTTAAATATGGAGTGGTTAACATAATTTTATTGTGGAACTTAAAATAGTAAACAATAAGGTTCAGTATGTTTACATTATCACATGTGCGTCGGATGTTAGTACTACCGTAGTACTATTGGCTATATTTATTAGGTTACATACAAATTAGTAATTAATCGACCGATAATAACAATATGGTATTTTGTAAAAGCCAAGGTTCGTTATTACCGGGGAATGACTAATAACCTCACATAATAAATAGTACTTTTTTGAAAATTATAATAAATATTCTTGATTTGCAAAACGAGTTTTAAAACAAGTCCATAATTTGACAGATCTTACTATAATTTCTACTAAATCGTTCATTCTAAGGTCAATTTAGTTTAAAATTGTAAACAATCCAGCGTTTTTGTATGTTATTCAGTAGCTCCTCCGTCCATGCAGCAAAGCCCCACAAAACAAATTTTTAAACGAGTCAAATAGGTAGTGATTGCATTTTATCCACACTCGCCATTATATCATAATTAGAAAATTGGAGTGATACGAACCAGCTCGCGATTGTCGAATCATCAGAAACAATAAACCCGCAAAGCATACGCTCGCCAAATCAAATCCGCCTAAAATCCACGTAAAACATTCATGTAATTTCCTCCGTGAAGTCACGCCGAAAGAATTCGCAAAGTCCATCTCAACTTACCATGTGCCGAAAGAAAAATCCAAAAAATCGTCCACTTCCTTCCCCATCCCGACTTAATCCTTGACAGTCCCTCGCCGCAGAAAATCCCCCAAAGCCGTGTAAACACAACACAGTAGCACCAACACAAGGCACAACTCCACGTGCTTTTGGAAAGCCAAGAGCGCTGTGCACCAGCAGCCGGCGAAGGTGTTCTTCGACTAAATTCCCTATTTCAACTCTGGAGCGGTCAGGTACACTCCGAAGCAAAACATCGTTGGAATGCGCACGACCGGAGGAGTAGTCGCCTCGTACCAGCGGAGTGTTGCCCACCAGGACGTCTACTCCGCAGGTCTGCTGCGCGTACACTCCGCGCCGCAAACCCGTGGATGCCAGAACCGCCTCGAACGCGGTACTGCTGCGGTACCGCGGCTGAAATCCGCTGCGCGGACTGTACTAAACTCAGGTGTGTTTGGTACCCGTCTAGAGGTTACATTCCTCGAGTAACGCGGCATTCCTCATGGTGAAATTGTCGATAGCCTCGTCCTAGGGGCTATCGCGTGTTCTCTTTAATATGGGTGCCTTTTTATGGGGGTTTATTAAAACAGACGCTCCTCTTGGACGGGGGCCACGAGGGCTTTTTCGCCCGAATGCCACATCATTAGCGCTCAAAAAACGTACGTGGATAACACGGTGCTGCATTCCGACGATTGGTACTGACCAATGAGAAGTGAGCCCGCCAAAGGTGATCCGCATGCTTGGATCGAGAGACCTGGGGCTTCGTATTACGCTAGCTTCGGAGATGTTAGCCAACCACACATTAACCCATTTCTAATGGATTTGCGGTTCCTGGTATTATACGTGTGCGGGTACTACTTTGGTACTGCGGAACGACTGCCAAAATATTCTTCGTCTCGTAAGGGTACAATCAAATTAATTTTACTTGGATCTTACCATTCAGAGAAATGTTGCGCTTTAGTTTTATGAGTACCACAGGCTTTCGGTTTGCCCTCTTCATTTAAGTAAAATTTATATTATCACCAAAATGTATCCAGAAAAAATCTATAGATATCTCTTCTATGTTTAATATGGCAAAATTAAAAACCAATAATTTCACCAACAATTTCACCATAATTCGTTGGAATAATGGTTCACCATTGAGCAAGATGTGGGCACTCAAATCTCCCGGAATGCTGAGGGCTTAAACCCTCAAGGAGTCCGGATGCCCGGAAGTTTTTTTTTTTTTTCTCTCACAAAATTTACATCTATTTATCCCAATATTTTAGCCAAATATATTTTAACAGCATTTTCTTTGATTATTATCAATCCCGATAATTTATTTTTAATAATAAATTTTAATTGATTTTCGAGTTCTTTAACGTACTAAATTTTTTAATATTATTGATATAATTAATCTCAAATATCTCAATATCTTAGTTGTGGTTATCATTTTTGTTCAGTTTTCAACCCAATCTAATAACTGTTCACGATTGTTTCAAATTCGCACAATTTATAAAGATCTGATAGTTTAGTTGACAGTGTTATGATTTGTCATAATAAATTTATTTTAAGTTATAATTGGTGACAACCGAATATTGCTGTCAGGAATAAATGAGCTAAATTAATAACAGAATTAACAAGGCGAATATTAAAAAAAAAAGTCAGTGTCATAAAACATGATCTGATGCTAACCTAACAAAAAAATATCTTGCCCTACTTAAAACAATCGCGAACGCTATATAGATGACGTCAAAATGGCCCTTGTTTCGAAATTTAGAAAATAATGATCGCTTTGAAATATATAGGTGTAGTTAAAAGATTTTTTCAATTTGAAGTTTCATATTTCCAAAAACACTCAATAAATAATTAATAATTTTCTTTCCCGGTTTCTTACATTTTTCGAAAAAAAAAGATGTTGGGAAACAGAAATAAACAGTTGAAATGGCAGTAGGGCAGTAGTAAGTTACTGTCAACAAAAGTCGTTCGCTAATTAGCATTGGACCAACAAACTATCTTTCCCATTATCTGCTATATAAATCTGGGAATAAAAATGACAGTTAGGTACTAGAGGATAATTTTTGCTGACCTCACATTAAAAGAAACATTAGTGGTAACAGTAATGCTTTAGTTAGCAGTAACAGTAATAGTAACAGGTTTATTAGGGTAAAATCTGAATCAATCAGAAACGATAAAGTTGTTCTTCTTATTATGACTTCATCTGAAAAAATTTCTCTTATTCTCTGGCGTTTCTGTCAGATCTAATATTTTCTTTTTTCTATGTAACTTGTGTAATAGGGTCCATCGAGCGACGTTTTATGACCCCTGGAGCACGGAAAAGTGGTCTCCCGTTTCCTTCTATCTGTCGTCTGTGTTGATTTTTATTAGACAGATAATTTCCGAAACTACTGGATCGATTGGTATTAAATTTTGTATGTCAGTCGTTCCCAAAGTACGCGGTACCGCTCCCTGGAGGGAGCTGGAAGGATTCAGAGGAGTGCATAGAGCTTCTGCACAATTTGAACATTTTGAGAAACCGGCAAAATGTTATAAATCAAATTATACCTATACAGCGTGATCAACAAGTAAAGTAACCTCATTTGACATACACCTGTTAAAACTTTTATAACTTATACTTATTGTATTACTTAACTCAGTTCACAGCTACATTATGCCAACAATGGACAGTCATAATCTTGCAATTCGGGTCCACAGAGCTTATAATAGCCAGTTTGGCTTATAAGGGTACTTTGGCTTAAGCCGCTAAAGTCATAAAAGTTTTAACAGGTGTATGTCAAATGAGGTTACAGTACTGCTTAAGTTAGTAACAGAATTAACCAATTCTGGGAGAATTTTTCTTGCCCTGCTTTTGCCAACACTGATGCAAATGCTTGGCGCCACGTCACTTTTAAGTGCTAAAAATTTTTTGATTAATAATCAATAACAAATCTTGACGTAAATTAAATGTCACTGTCACCCATGTCAATTTCAACAACAGGAAGTAAGGTGGAGGGACAGGTCTACTAATTTCAAGCAAACATCATTAATCCCAACTGAAACAGTAGGTATAGTTTTGGAAATTTCATTCTACCATATAAAATTTTATTGGCAATAACGAGACGGACAGTAGTACAATAGCAAGAGATATTTACAACTTAAAATTGTCGCGTGCTGCTAATCCCCAGATGTTAGAAAGAAGAATAATCCAGGTCTGGACATCGTTACTCACGAACGAAAATGAGCACTATTTTATGAGTACAACTACCTGCTAAATGTTTTCCGACAAATTCGGGTAAACTGGTGTGAGCCATAAATATTTCTTACGTTTGTACTACTGTCCGCCTCGTTATTGTCAATAAAATTTTATGGGGTAAAATGAAATTTCCAAAACTATACTTGTAATATAAGAAAGCAATAAAAGACAATCAAAAACCACCATGGATTTTTGAAAGTTTGTCTTTGATCATTGGATTTTCAATTCAAACTTTCAAACTGACGGTCATCTGACAAGACTAAAATTCTATTAAAAACAAACCTTTAAATAATAATACACAGCTGTCTTTAATCGTGTTTATTATTACTCTCCCAGTGTATTAACGTGATTAATTTAAAAACGACCACCAACAATTTTGCTTACAATACTTGATGCTTAATGCTTATTATAATTTTTGGTGCAAACATTTTTAGTTGTATTTCTTTTGTCATACTTAGTAGAATGCGGGTTACAAATTAGTTAACTAAAAAAAAATAAATCGATTACAAATAACTGATCGCGGTGACTTACGGATGTTATTGACAAAATTTTACCTTGGTATTAAATAAATTGGTCGCCATTCTACCAAATCTAGAACTATGTTTTCTAAAATTATTGTCTGTAATTCGCATTTTAAATATTTTGTTAAATTTTCATGAGTAGGATGTTTTATTAGCAATAACATTTTTTCTGTTTGTATGTTCAAAGTATGAAGGGGAAAGATCTTAAAGTAATTTTCTTTTTGAAAAGGATGGGATAAGCCACATAAATTTGGGAACTTCTGACGTAGATGGTAAAACGCCATCTAAAATATGTAGCTAATCATCCCCACAATTACAAATATCTGAAACAATATGATGACGTACGCTTATTATTTTGCGTAATTAACATTATGTAAATGTTATGAAATAGTATACACCTGTACTTGTGGTTTACGTATTTACTTTGATTTTGGTTATTACACATTATTATTATATTCGTTTCTTGTTTAATCCGTCTTGTTCTTTACACACACATAATATGAACTTGTACCAGCAGATGGGTGGTTCCGTGCTAGTGATTTACCTAGTAGATGAAAAATCTGAGATCAAATTAAGTCTATATTTAGTACTAATAAAATAAGAACTATAATAATAATGTTCAGAACATTTTGCTTCGTGTGCTAAATGGTAACATAAACAATCGAAGTGAAGCATGTACACTGATCGTAATATATTCTCCGATTGGTTATCTATTTTAAAAATTTTTTATATTGTTACGATTTCCGGAAATAAAATCGGCGTAAATCTCAACACTAGCCTCAGAAGTGGGATCATCTTAACTTCAATGTCGAAAATGCCATTTACAAAACTTTCTGCCAACAACCTCTCATGAAAAGTCGATCGTGCGTCCGAGTAAGCAAGATTGTTCGTCCCCAAATCGAAGTTCTGAAGCAGCAGTGAATACACTATATTTGCTTCTATCTTTTTCGAAGAATTCTATGAAATTTTGTATCATTTTTTCAATTTTTTTATTCTATTGTCCATTCGATATCCTATAGTTTACATTCGATTTTCCATGCGTTCCTGTACTGATTTCTCTAACTTAGTCATTAGCTAATGCTCAACTTTCTCTTTTACTTTTTCGTTTATTGAAACTATATTTCGTCCGACAATATTTTCCATAACTGTCTTTAATTTCTGTTATTTCATTTTTGTTTGTTTCCACATCCTTTTGGAATTTTTCAGTTAGATTAATTTGCTTATTTATTTTTGTATTCGTTTTTGTCCATTTCTTTGTCCATTTCTTTGTTTTTTGCGTCAAGTTTGAACCCTGATTTTGACCACCAACATAAACTTTCAGAATTCTTTTCCAACCTACCCGTAAATCTTCGTAAAACCAATTATTAACCTTGAATCCCACTTCTGACACCAGTGTTACGACGTACGGGAATTCAAGTCGAACACGTTACTAAAACAGGCGAATTATTCGCTGCACATTATCGCTTTATAGTTAGTATACTATGATGTATTCAATAAATAAACACTGTTCGAACTGGTTTTTATTCTATAGAAGTTATCACAAAACAAAAATCGTAAGTTCTGTC